TTGTTTCTGCTGCCAGAGCTTCCTTTGAGCCTGAGTTTCAGTCCCAGTTTACAGTTGCCGAATTTTGTTGTGTTGGACATATTTTATATTTTGTTACGGAAAAATAGCTAGGGAAGTAGGGATAAGCTAGTTAAACAAGCAGTAAAATTGGCAAAAGGTAGTTAGATAAGCGGAATCATCATTACCCCACCACAGCATCCTGCTTCATCCTGCAAAACTCATAAATTAGCTCATAATTTGCTCAAATCTTGCCTAAAATTAACACTACGTTTCTACTATGGTATTGTCTGCTAGCCTGCCCCGCTTGCATCCCTATCAATTGTCTGCTGGTTTAAGGATGGGGTGTGGGCAGTGTTTATCATCCAGCACAATGTGCGCTCTAGGTATGTGATAGATGCTGTCTAGGGTCCACAATTACTGCATCTGTTATAGTGAGTCATAACTAACTAACCTAAAAGAGTTATGATTATTTTTTCTGTTAATCATGCAATCTATATGCATGGGCCTGTAACAACAGTTTAGGAAGAGATGGTAGTGTTGAATATAGGCATAATGTACGTTGAAAATCTATAACATGTGTGAAAGTATTTGTTAGATCTGTTATTGTATTCTTTGTTCTCTTGCATTTGAATTCTAAGTGTAATATATTTGTTGGACGCCAATATCCACCACACGTGTGGCATAATAGGCATTCGCCCACACACCGTGTGTGGCATGAGCAGGGGACAGCCCACGCGGGCTGTGTGTGGGCGAACAGTATAATTGCCCACACGTGTGGGCGCAGCTACTTCGTGCCGCACGCCCAACAAGTACTACTCATCCCCACCCCGCGCGTGTGGCACGAAGCAAATATGCCCACACGTCCTGACGCAGCTACATTAGGTACCCGCGGGATGACGATTTAGTTGCCATCCGGGATGGCAGATGTAGTTATCCGGGATGGCAAATATGGTTGTAAAAGCATCGCAACTCTCTCTGTTTTGCCTAACTATAGTTGTCATGTCTAATTTATGGTAGTTGCCGCGTATAATCAAATCATACTTGTCGTGTGTGATTTACTACTTGCCACATATGGTCAAACAATAGTTGCCATGTGTGTTTACCTGGTTGCCACGTGTGGTTAATCACAGTTGCCATGTTTGTTTATCTGATTGCCACGTACACGCAACTGCAGTTGCCGTCTAGCAAACGAATCATAGTTGCCATGTGTGTTTGCCTAGTTGCCATGTACGTGCAACTGCAGTTGCCATCCAACAACGTACGACTGTCGTCTGGGCGAAAAGCAATTCGCCCACACGTGCGTGGACTAGGTGGTGGCTGTGTGGGCAGAAACTAGTTCGCCCACACAGCGCAGCTGGCAACCGTGTGATGTGGGGCGTGTGGGCGACCTCTCCAACGCCCACACACTGGCCTTGTCGATTCGTGGAAACTTAACTGGATGGTGATCCAGGCGTGTGGGCGAGTTGCAATGTTGCCACACGTGTGGGCGTTAGTGTTTTCGTATTTATTTGTGGCCTTGGCGAGTTTAATGGTGACGTGATATATGTATCAAACAAGTGACTCTGCATTTATGTTGCTTCTTTAAATGCAGACTAACCTGATCAAAGAGAGCATCAGAATGGGTTATAACGACATTGGTGACTTCTTCTATGCTCATGGCCACCTTTCAGAAGCCTTCAAAAGCTATATCCGGACACGGGACTATTGCACCACTTCCAAGCATATAGTTCAGATGTGTATGCATGTGATTCTGGTCAGCATTGAGTTGGGACAGTTTGCGCATGTTACCAACTATGTCAGCAAAGCAGAGCAAACCCCAGACACCTTGGATGCTGTCATTGTTGCAAAGTTGCGAGCAGCTGCAGGATTAGCCAACTTGGAGACAAAGAAATACAAACTTGCTGCCCGTAAGGTTTGTCCTCCAGAAACCCTGTTCTGTTTCTTTTTTTTCCTTGAGCTGAGCTTTCCTTGCACCTGTAAGCTTTTAAGCTGATGTTTTAGAGATGATTATTGCTTCCTGTAAATCAGTCTTCTGTATGCAAGAATTTTAATTCAACTTAAATTGAAACTTCATGTTTGGTAGTCCTATCTTGCTAGTTCTGTTCATGCGGTACCTCTTTCAAGGGCCAGTAGTATATTCTTGATAAACCCCCACTTGTTTCAAGATATCAGTGAAAAGCCTTGAACAGATCCAAGTGATTTGTTTGTTCGTTTACTATTCTGTGAAATTACTAATAGTGTATCATTGTAACTAAATTTACAACTATCAATTGTCATGTGTGGATTAGACAGCACTCACAAACTTTTCCTGACAGATATCAATATGGTACTGCACTTTAAACTGAATTTTGTTTACTCTCTTTGTTATAAATGATCAGCGTAACTTCGTTTAAAGTGCCTCCCATTGTTTCCTCCAGCTAGTAGTTTACGCACATTGGGATCCACATCCAGCTAGTAGTTCAGGCACATTTGGATCCACCTCCAATTTATAGATAGTGGCTTGTCCAAAAATTGAAGTAAATTAGGCAATGTCTTGTGTTTTTGCCTGGTATAAAGTATTCTTGCTGAAATTCCCCCTTTCCATGAAGTTTCTCGAGACAGGACCTGAACTAGGAAGCAACTATTCTGAAGTCATAGCTCCGCAAGATGTGGCTGTCTGTGGTGCCCTTTGTGCTCTTGCTTCTTTCGATCGTTCAGAACTGAAGGTTTACCTCTTGTTCTTCTTCTTTTTTGTGTGCCTTTTGTATGGTTGGTTGGTTACGGTTACACTGAAACATGATTGTTTGTTTATCTTGCCAGAGCAAAGTTATTGACAACATAAACTTCCGTAACTTTCTTGAGCTAGTGCCTGAAGTAAGGGAGCTGGTCAATGATTTCTATGCAAGGTATGCTCCTACTGGAACAGCCTTTAGTATTTTATTGTTCTTGCCCACCTTTTCAGTGTGTTGGTTGTTTTTACACCTGCTGCTCTGATAGGATATGTGGAAGATTTTGCAACTGTTGTTTTTACTATATCATCAGAGCTCAAAATAGAATATATGCATTGCTCTTTTTTCAGTAATGGAAACCCTTTTACAAGCAGTAGAACTTGCACTGATAAATCATAACAATTTCACAAGTATTGGCGCTCGCATAATTAAAATGATGTATACAACCCTTTATTTTTGGTCTCTCTGACAGTGTCAACTCAAATACAGTCACTGCTATAATGAGAAATGAATCAGTTGGTTTTCTAACTCTCGTCCTTTTATATGCCACATCATTACTTATTGGGCCATATAGACAGCCGTTTGTTGGCAATGAGGCTAAAGTCATTACCCTTTTAGTTATTGGGCCATATCGACAGTTTCCTTCAATTTTAGACCTTATTTTCTAGAATATGGTGTCGATTAATGTGCCTTTTGGGTTTACAATTTAAAATACCATGAAAGCTTGATTGCCTGTACACCATTTTTTGGTTACAAAGTCGGGCTCCAAGTCCTTTTGAGGATAGACATTTGTTTGTGTCACTGCTAGATTAGGTTGTAGTTTTTTTCCAACCGATTTGTGTTAAATAAATATGCTAACAATTAAAATGTCCAAACTAGTCGCTATGGATCATGCTTGGAGCATCTTGAGAAGCTAAAGCCGAATCTCCTTCTGGATATCCATCTCCGTGAGCATCTTGGGACTCTGTACAATGATATCCGCCACAAAGCTATCATACAGTACACGCTTCCGTTCATATCTGTAGATCTCAACACAATGGCTAGTGCCTTCAAGAGCTCAGTATCGATGCTGGAGAAAGAGCTGGCTGCACTGATCACCGAGAACAAAATACAGGTACCCTTGAGAAGGTTTCTCATCTTGCTGCATATACCTGTGATAATTCTCGTATTATTATTCTGACCTGCTTCTTGGTTACCTTTTATGCTGCAGGCTCGGATAGACTCCCACAACAAGATCCTGTATGCAAGGCATGCTGACCAAAGAAACGCAACCTTCCAGCGGGCCCTCCAGACTGGCAATGAGTTTGAGAGAGATATCAAGGCCATGCTCCTGAGAGCCAACCTCATCAAGCATGATTTCAACCAGAAGAACTGGCCTGGACAAAGGAAGATGAACCTGTGAGCTCTGAGTTAATGCTAAAAGGTCTCCTCCGCTTGGAAATAGTTGTTTTGGGACAAAGGGTGCAATGGCACATTGAGAGGTTTCTGTCCGTGAACCGCCTTGATGGCTGAACAATCAACTTTGTTTTTCTTCTTTCTGTTGGCTCTTAGGCTGTGAATGTTGCTGGCACAAACGGTTTATGAATAGGTTATGCATCTGGAGATATGATATACTACCTGTTTGATGCCATTCCATGTGATTTAGAAAGTTCTTTTAACCGGCATAGTCGTGCACCCGCGGATTACACGGTCGGTGAAATGTCTCTCTTTCTTTTTTGGTGCGGCGGTCGGTGAAATGTCAACCGCAACCGCGTAGCATGCGGTGGTTTGCATGTTGATTGCATTTCTATATGCAAAATTGGCTGCTCGGTGTGACTTCTTGTTGGAACTTGATTATTAATAATCGCCAAATGGAATCTTGCGCATGTGCCAATCAGGCCAGACCACACCTCAACTCTACAGCGTGGCGCAACTGTCAGCGTTGTGGGGATCACACAGGAGCTGTCTATTGCGTCGTTGCTTGGCCGCTGACTCAAAAAGGAGAAACACGAGCTGGAAGGAAGCAACGTCGCACATGGCAGGGCAGATGAGAGAGACGATTCTCAAAGCAATCTTCATTCATTATACATTACAAAAGAATAAATCAAATGGACAAGAGATAAAGACCCCAACGAGCCTTGTCTGTGTGTGTGTCTAACCAATCAGGCAGTAGCCCCTTTTTCTTCCCTCCCTTGATCTATATCTACAAATATGAACCGGACAATATGTTGTGGGGGCACCCGCTGGAAGAATTCATGATGACTGTGAAAGCGCTCTCTGCTGGAATTCTCATGTGTGTGTTGGTGTTGGTGCTCAGTTGGCGCATGACCAGCTCGCGGTGGGGACGCAGCTGAGGTAGTGGCACCAGCCGCAGCTGCTGTTGGCGTTGGCGCCGCGGAACACCATGGCCAGCCCGATCGCGAATCTGCAGCGAAAAAGGTTTCCAACAGTCAGTCAGAGCGAGCACGGAAAGAATGGCCTCCTTTCTTCTTCGCCCGGCCATCTCGCCACCTTATTTTAATTCACCGACAGAAACGCGTCTAGTTGTTGAGACTTCAGACATAAAAATATGTTATACTACGACATGGTAATATGTGTGTGTGTGTGTGTGTGTGTGCAGGTTGGGCGTGGCTGTCAAGATGTCGCACGTTAGGCTGGAGGAGGGAAAGGCGACCAAGAAAACTTTGTTTTACATGGTGGAGGAAGAAGAATAACAAGACCAGCTACGGATCGCTATGACTATGATGATGATGATGATATGGTTTATTTAATAATTGTATATATAATAAAAAAGAGCCATGGTGCTCTGTGTTTGCCTGTCGGTTCACATGAGTGCCTTAATGGGAGGAGGAAGGAACCTGGGTGCGCAGGCTCGTTGGCGCATCAAATCTAATCTACCAACGGGATGCATCATGCATGTGCAGTGCCCATGTACCTAACCCACATTTCGCTTCTCCACTTTTAACTTTTTCTTTCCCCACTAACTACTCCAGTTTAGGTGTCCATAAGTGTTAACTACAGTTTCTGCAGGTGGCAACAAATGTCCACGTACTAGTACAAGGATATTCATATGTTTCCAACGGCTAAACGTGTTGTACGTAGGTGAAGTAATGCTGCTGCTTAATGACACTTTAAATGCACAATAACTGTAATATCTAGTATGATGCTTACCCTGCGACGGCGAGGGCGAGGGCGACGGCCATGAGCGCCCACTGGTAGGGGAGGTACTTCCTGGCGGTGCAGGGGCTGCCGGCGGGGAGGCGGTAGCGCTCCATCCACCCGAAGTGGGGGCGCATGAGCAGCACGAACCCGAGGAGGAACCCGGTGAGGAACCCCCCGATGTGCGCGAAGTTGTTGACGTGCGGCAGGATGCCCAGCACCAGGTTGACGGCGATGACGAAGAGCAGCGTGGTCACCGCCGCCACCTTGTTGCTGTAGATGGTCCAGTTGGACAGCAGCTCCGCCAGCATCGCCCCCAGCAGCCCGAAGAGCGCCCCGGAGGCCCCCACCGAGATGGCGCTCCGGATGAAGAGCGACGACAGCACGCTCCCGCCCACGCCGGAGATGAGGTATATGCCGCCGATCCTCACTGCAACCAACCAAAAGAAGACCTTGGTGTCAATGGTGTTCTTAGGTGAGTGTTTGAAATATGTGGCCTGCAAATTGTAATCGTGTATGCATACCGTATCCGAACTGCTGCTCAAGGCGGAGGCCGATGAAGAGGAGGCTGAGCATGTTGGCGACGAGGTGGAGGACGCCGGCGTGCATCCACATGCAGGAGAAGAGGCGCCACCCCTGGTGCCCGTGCACCACCTTGTCCCACACCAGCGCGCCCATCTTCACCAGCCTGCAATGCATGCACATCCAGCACAGGAGTGTAACGGTCAGGATCCATCGGCCGGGCCCCAGCTCATCATCAGGATGGATGCATGTACCCCATGCTGCCGTATATGGACAGGGGCTGTACTGGCATACCGCCGCAATACAGGCAGGCCCAGCTCATCTGCACTTGGCGTGTGGTTGGTGTCCTACCACTACCCGTGTTTCTTTTTTGGGTCATCTCTGGCGCCTCTGCCCTACGAATTATTTGGGTGCCGGATCTCATCTTGGCAAGTTCTTCGGTTGTTGATTAATTCATTCAGATTTCAGACTAATAATGTTGCGAAGAAACAGAATTGATGAATAGCACTTATTTTCTACTACTTGTTTCTCGCAACAGAAATCGTGTGTGCACAGTCGATCTGCAGTCAGCTATACTACATGATTCTTGCCTCCTATTGCAACTACCTAGCTTTGCAGGTAAGCAAAGGCAGCAACTAGTAGCAGTAACATTTCCATGAACAGAAGCTGATTAACAGACAAAGAGAATTAAAGAAAAGATTGAGAAGAGGGAGTTGCTTACGTTGCGGAGGATGGGCCGAGCAGCGGGTTCTGGCGGAGGGGCTGGAAGGAGAAGCGGTGGAGGAAGCGGGCGACGCACTGGCCGTCGCGCCCCGGCTTGGCGTTGTGGGCGGGGCAGTTGTTGTAGTACATGGCGATGGTGAAGACGGTGATGTTGGCGACCAGGATGGAGGGCACCAGCCAGGGCGTCCACTCCCGCTCCCCCTCGTGCTGCGGGTACAGCGGCGACGGCACCTTGCCCGGCTCCTGCTTCGCCTTCCTCGGCGACGACCCGCCCTTCTCCACGTCCGCCCGCGACGTCGCCATTGGTTGGTGCTAGGACGGAGCTGCCTGCTCTTGGCGTGGGTTGCTGCTGAGTCTCTCTTCTCGTGTGGAGGCGGAGGCGGAGGCTGGGATTTAGAGGTGGTGGCGGTGGAGTGTGAGGAGGACGGGGAGAGGAGTGGGAATAAATACAGGGGAGGAGGAGCGGGGCGACGGGTGGAGTGGAGGTCGCACGGAAGGCACCGCGCGGTTGGCTGTTGGCTGGCTGGAAGGGTCCGGGCCCATGTGCATGTGGCATCGGTGTATACATCTATCTCTCGTGTCGTGTGTAATGTGCGGGCGGACGGACGGACGGCTGCAGGCGACGCGGTTCCACTGCCATTGGTCCTCGCCCCCTTTGACTCCCTGGGCCGAAACGGTACGTGCTGCTACCTACAGTCGGTGCTACGCGTCTACAGTAGTATTTTTCTCTTTGAAGCGGTACAGACAGTCGGTGCTCGTGCTAATCGTGTTCAATGGGCATTGCTGACTTGTTCGAACTGCAGTGTTCTGCATTTCCCCAAGCACCAGGCCCTCAAACGCCGACGCGTCCGCAGGCAGTGATCGGACACGTCTCATTTGTTAGTTTTCACACATGCGTTCCTCAAAACCATACAACCCACGCAACGCTATGTAAAACACGTTCATATCCCAGTTCATCTGATCAACATTGCATTGCCGGACAAAAGGAGCATAGTTCATCGGATCAACATTGCATCGCTGGACAAAAGAAGCATAGTACGTCGGAGTAGTTCAACGCCAAATTCATACTACAAACAATTTAACACATAGTTAAAATATAAACGGAATGGGGAAGGACTAAGAGCATCTCCAACAGCCGCGCAATGCGCGGCACGCTAAAAATCAAAATACAACGCCGGGTAAGCCAGTTTTTGCGTGCGGTGGTGCGCTGGCTCCAATGGCCGCCTCAAAATAAAGCGTGTTCGAGCCGCTCCAGCAGGTGCGCTATATTTAATCTTTTTTTCCTTGACGCCTACTATGTGAACTACGATTCGATACATATTTGGTTCCAATAGTACAAATATGGAGATAGTTCGTCACATAGCTTGCTTCTACGATACAAAATAGTGCGTAGATAGTTCATAGTCTTCTCCTACGATAGATAGATAAATAAAATGAAAAACTACTACTACTCGTCATTCTCCGACTCGGACTCTGCCTCGGTGATGTCCTCCTCTGACGTCTGAGCGTAGGCGTCAAGGAACCGCTCGTCGCTGGAGTCCCAGGACGACGCATCTCTTAGCTTGATATTGAATTTAGCGACTGCCTTCCGCGTTCGCTTGTCCTCGCGATAGGTGGCTCGCTCCTCCCTCCTCTCCTCCCTCTCCGCCCTCCTCTTGGCGAAGAACTGTTCCTCGTTGATGATGTCTTGCGGGAAGCGTTGGCGCCACAGCGCCATGGCTTCCTCGTCCATCTCGGCCAGGTTGAGATGGCGCAACCACCTTCGGTACTCGCAACGATCCTCGTCAGTGATAAGCCGCGGGGGAGGCGCCAACTCATGTGCCCGCTCCCGCGTCGCCACGTCGGTGAAGTTCATGTCCCAACGGGACCGCCGGAGGTGCCACGCCGTAGTTCCGAGGCCGAGGCGCACGCCGTCGCCTGACCAAATCTCGATGGAGTAGGTGCTGGACGGACGCACACGGACGCCGCGGTAGCCCAAAGCTGCACGGCGGCGAGGCGGCATGGTGGCGCAGTGGTGTCGTGTCGGCGGCGGGGAGAGAAAGCGGTAGAGGGAGCGATGAGAGAGCGGCAGAGGGCGCTGCAATTTTATAGACGCGCCGGACGCGATGCGCCAAATCTAGCGCGCGAGCTGTCGCCTTTTCTCGCGCGCGCAATTGTTTCCCGCGCGCGCCAGTTTCCCGCCTCCGCTGGAGCGCGTGAAAACATCCCGCACGCACTAAAATGCCAGCTTACCGCGCGCGCATGTCTTTTGGCGCGGCTGTTGGAGATGCTCTGAGGAAATCACCATTTCCTCACTGGACCCTTCCCCTTCCAGCCGTCGGCGCGGCTGTGCCCGTCCTTTTTGTAGGCATCGGCGTGCAGAGGTGCGTCATCATCAGAGCTGGAGGTGGAGCTGTTCATCAGGTCGGAGTCGGAGCTGCACCTCATGCCTGACAGCCTGTAGAGCAGGCGGTATCGCTCCTTCGCATGGTGAGCCGCCTTCGCCATCGCCGCAACCTCCTTGTTTGCCCCGCGCTCCGACAACTCGATGGCGAGTCAGAGCGCCTTGGAAATCTTGTGGTGGAGGCGTCGCGCATCCTTCTCTGCCGTCATGAGAGAGCGACGGAGGACCGACGCGAGGAGCGCGGCATCGGGATCAACCGACAGACTCGTGTGCGGACATCGCCTCTCCCTCTTCCTTGCCCAATGCCGCTCGCGTCGGGCTGTATGTGCCTCTGACTCGGGCTCCTCGTGCATGCCAGCCCCTACGTGGGCACGAGGACCCAGCGGTGGCCAGGTGTGGGAGTCCTGGACTAAAGGGTCCTCGTGCGTTCGGCCTGTTAGCCATGGGCCGGACTGATGGGTTGTGAAGATACGAAGACCGGAGACTGCACCCGTGTCCGTATGAGGCCCTCCTTGACGTGGAATACAAGCTTGGTGACTAAATATGTAGATCCCATTCTTTGTAACCGACCTTGTGTAACCCTAGATCCTCCCGGTGTCTATATAAACCGGAGGACTTAGTCTGGAGGGGAGAGACATCATCATAACTGTTGGGGATATTACTGCTGGGCGTAAACCGGCCTATCTGGGCCGGGTCAACTTCATCAGTAGTTCCAGAAGTGATAAAGCCCAAGAAGGCAGATGAGGGCCTAAGGCCCGTAGCCGGTTCAAGACTTGTAGCTGTAAACCGGAATCTGTATATAAACTTGTATTGTAAGTTAGGAATAAGGAGAGACCAACCCGGATACGAATATCGACCGGATTCTGTGAACCGACAGGTGTCACTCGTCTATATAAGGGGACGACCCGGGGGCGGTTCAAGGACAACAGACAACAACTCGAGACATAGGCGAAGCTTGTTTGCTCCCTAGTCATCGAAACCCCATCAATTCCATCACAACTAGACGTAGGCTTTTACCTTCATTGAAGGGGCCGAACTAGTATAAAGTCTCTTGCGTCCCTGTGTCTGCTTTAACCCCTTCAAGCTAACCAGTCGCGATGGCTCCACGACTAAGTCCTTTCTCTAGGACATCTGCCGTGACAAAACCACGACAATAACCATACAAGCTAGGCCTCTAGGGTTTAGCCATTACGATCTTGTGGTAGATCAACTCTTGTAATACTCATATTCATCAAGATTAATCAAGCAGGACGTAGGGTATTACCTCCATAGAGAGGGCCCGAACCTAGGTAAAACATTGTGTCCCCTGTCTCCTGTTACCATCGACCTTAGATGCACAGTTCGGGACCCCCTACCCGAGATCCGCCGGTTTTGACACCGACATTGGTGCTTTCATTGAGAGTTCCACTGTGCCGTCATCAAGAGGTTCGATGGATCCTTCAACCATCTACAACGATGCTGCCCAAGGGGGAGTCTTCCTCCTCGGACAGATCTTCGTGTTCGGCGGCTTCGCTCTGTGGGCCAACTTGCTTGGCCATCTGGAGCAGATCGAAAACTACGCCCCTGGCCATCAGGTTAGATTTGGGAGCTTGAACTACGTTGCGGACATCCATGGAGACTTGATCTTCGCCGGATTCAAGACCGCGGCTACCACTCCTGGTCACCCCGAGGGACATGACCTAAATCTGTCATCGGACCGCATCCATGAGACAACTTCCATAACCGCTCTGGCCCTAGATCCAGAGCAGACTACGCCATCCAAGGACGAGGATTGACCCCACCATGAAGGCCACAGATTCCATGGCGTTGGAGCCATACATAGACTTGATCTCACATGATACCTGTGCCACCGGAACTACGGACTCATTTCCGGCCGTAAGTTCCGAACCATGTGAGCCCGCGGATGCCGAACTTGATCGTTTATTGATCTTCGAATTCAGCACCGCAGACATCTTCCAGCACTCGCCTTTGGGCGACATACTAAACTCATTAAAGAACCTGTCCTTGGTTGAGGACTCACAGCCGAACTATATCCGCTTCGAACTAGGGGCTGACGATGGAGAATTTTGCTCCCCACCCGCCACCCACTTCATAGTCACGGTCGAGGATTTAACCGACACACTTCATTACGACTCTGAGGACATCGACGGTATGGACGACAATGCCGGAGAAGAAGAGGCCCAGAACCTGCCGTTCACTGGACGCTGGACGGCTACTTCCTCGTATGATGTATACATGGTGGATGCACCAAAGGAGAACAGCGGCGATGACAAGGAAGATCCAGCTGAGGATAAACCTTCCGAAATACAATCCAAGCACCGGCGTCAGCGGCGCCGCTCTAAGTCACGCCACAGTAAAGACAACAACACCGGCACAGGAGAAGATAACACTCCAGAAGGTGCCGAAGACAACGAAGACCCCATTGAAACAGCTAATGAACAAGATGATCGGGAAGATGGGCAGGTTAGCCCTGGTAAACAGGCCACACACAAAGAATCAGAGGACGGAATTTATCTTCTGCTCTCCGAGGATGAGGTGAGCCTCGGCACCGACGATTTCATCGTGCCCGAGGAACCTCTTGAGCAGGAGCGCTTCAAGCGCCAGCTAATAGCCACTGCAAGGAGCCTGAAAAAGAAGCAGCATCAACTTCAAGCTGACCAAGATCTGCTCAATGATAAATGGACCGATGTCCTAGCAGCCGAAGAATACGACCTCAAGCGCCCAACCAAAAGAACCAAATCGTCGATTGTCCGGATGCCGAAGCCCTAGCAGCCTTCAAACACAGCATCCACGACAAATGGCTCGCTCGCCACCTCAGCCAAAAAAGCCAAAATCCATGGCGGCCCTCACGCACTCATGACCCGCTTTTGTGCGGGTGAGGACAGTTGGTTAGCCCGTAGCAAAAACAATGCAAGCGACG